GACTTGTGAGAAATGCAACAAGACTTACAAAACTTTTAGTCAACTAAGACAGCACAATAAGCAAAAACATCCAAAGGTAATTTAAAAAACATACAATTATATGTTTTTCAACATGTTATTTTTGTTTTAGTTAAAGTTTTACAAATGCAAAGTATGTCCCGACCTTACATTTAATGTCGAAAAAGAATACCTTTTACATTTGCGAAATGATCACGAGGGCAAAATTATAGAAAGTCACATGTGCAACGTTTGCGGGAAGACTTTCAGGACTAGTTCTGAGCTGACGCTGCACATCAGATCCAAATGTGGAACAGAAAAACAATTTATTTGCAAGGTGATAAAACTATTTATTCCTAATTTATAAGGAAGTAATAATAATACTTTTTTATTTATACTTTTTAACAAAACATTCTTTAAATATTCTTCAATTTTTAACCTTTTCAGTTTACAGAGAGAGAGAGAGAGAAAAAAAAATAAATGAAAATAAAAAAGACAATTTTTGTCTTCTTTTTGTTTTTTGTTGTTTTTTTTGTTGTTGTTTTTGGTGTTATTTTTTTGCTGTTTCTTGTTTTTTTTTTTGTTATTTTCTTCCTTGTTGTTTTTTTATTGGGACTTAATTATGAATGAATGGAACTTGTTTTTGATTTAGGAATGTGGCCAAAGACTTATGTCCCCCGGATCCTTGTACACACATTTGAAAAGACATAAAGGAGAAAATAGTTTTATGTGTCGATTTTGTGCTAAACTATTTCTTACCTCTGGTCAGCTGAAAGTCCACGAACGAATTCATACTCAGCAGAAAGTGTTCGTTTGTGATGTAAGTGTAGATTCTCAATCAATTAATATTTTTTTGCCTTTTGAGGCTTAAATATCCCCAAATTGCAGAATTTTATAAGAAATCCCCCCTCTTAAATTGGAACATCTTTATAGAAATATCATTTTTTTCTAGGTATGTGGAAAAGGCTTTTGCCATCGTCAAAGCTTAATCACACACATATCTGTACATACCGGAATTAAACCTTATCAATGTGAGGGTTGTGGAAAATCTTTTAGTTGCGTAGGCAACTTGCTTAAACATCGAAGAACACACTCTGACTCTTGCGGAGCTATACCAATGACTAGTCACAGAGTACAGAATCCATCAACGAAAATCAAAGTACGAATAAACACACCAGCTTCGTCGAAACTAAAAAGAATGCAGATGAAAAAAGAACTCGAACAAAAATTCGCTACATTGGATAAAGAAAATAGCAAGGAAATTAAAAATGAGAATGTAAAAGTATGTCAAATTCAAATGGTATTTGTTTTTCACAGAGAATTATTTTTCAGAGCAAAAATGAAGAATGTATCGTAGAAGAAACTTTAAAAGTAAAATTGAAAGAAGATGATTACATTGAAGAAGAGGAGGAAGAAGAAGATTCTGATTATATACCAGATGGTGATAATACTAGTGAGAGCAGTCCGGAAATCTCAGCAAAGGAAGAAAAGAATGATCTATTTGAAGAACAAAAACAAACAAATCGACGAAAACGACGTACTATATCGACCCAAGTTGAAGAATTTGAAAATTTCATCAAAACGAGGAAACTAAGTAAGAAATTGTAAAAATCTTTTGTGAATTTTCATATTTATAACCAATTGAAATTTTTTAGGCAAGGGCAAGACAGCAACGTGCAAGTATTGCAAGAAAGAATACAGCAATTTTAAATGGTTATTCAAACACGAACAAGAACATATTGATTTTGATGTTAAAGACGAAGAACTTGTATTACATAAATGTAGCGTTTGTAGAAAAGGATTTGAGACCGATTTTAAACTTAAACAACATCAAGAAGAAGAACACGTGCGTGAACTAAGTAAGTATAATTAAATATTAGGTTTTTAAGGCGAAATATTTATTACAGCATAGCGACCCAGATAAAAATACAGGTTGTGATTTTTTTTGTCTACATTTCACTATGCGCATAGATGAGAATCATCGGAAGAAGGTATTATATATACATGTTCAGCGTTATTCCCCAGTTTTTTGTATTTTACTCAAAACCGATGCTGGACTATTTTTGTGCAAATAGTTCGTGAATAGCTTCAATAATTACATTGTATTTTTAGATAGTTCTTGGGCATCTTGTCTACAGAATGGCCTACAAGATAATGAAAAGCGAGATCTTCTTAAGCGCCATTCTATGTCCGAATTCATCAAAAAATTCTCCTTGCAGCTTCACAATAACGATAGTCTTCTGAACGCCATTCAAAATCAAATTTGTTCCGGTCTAACGGCCATAGATAAGTTTATAAATAAAATGAAAGACAAAGAAGATAATGATATAACGGATATTTTGGATACTGCTAAAATATTCGCGGATCTCTATTACGTTGTTTCTAATAGCAACGTGGATAATAAAAGTACCTAAAATAATATATCTTTTCTCGTAGAGGTACTGAATGTGTTGTGATATTTTTTTTATTTATTATATTTAAGTAGGAATATACATCTTATAAATATCGTAAATTGTTTTATTCCGATTTTAAAACTTCAAATACACATCCAACGATACAGAAAATTAATGCTACATTTTAAAATAACAGTGTTTTTTAAATTTTACTTTTATTTTTGTTTCAGCCTGTCCAAAATGCAACAAAATCTTTTCCAGCACAAAAAGTTGTCGTGTCCATCAAAAAATTGTCCACGAAGGGGTCGAGCGTAAAAAATATCTGTATGTATGCGATAAATGTGGCGGACAATTCAAACAAAAAATGCTTTTGACTGATCACAAACTTTCCAATTGTAATTTAGTTTCGCGGTTCAATTGTCGAATTTGTTTTAAAGAATTTTCTTCTATTTATAGCCAAAAAGCTCATTTGCAAGTTCACGCTGGTAATAAAACATTCGTTTGCGGGTATTGTGGAAAAAAATATAAGTGGAAGGGACAGCTAAAAATTCATTTACTTACGCATGGAGGTCAAAAACCGTATTCTTGTAAATTTTGTCCAAAGAAATTTATTTATAGAAACAGTTTGCTAACTCACAAGTCAGTACATAGTGGTATAAAATTATTTTTTTGCAAATGTTGTGGCCGGAGATTTTCGTGTATTGGAAATTTGATCAAACATAAAGTAACGCATTCTAGTTCTTGTGGAAAGTGGTATAAAGAAAACGCAGAGCCAACCAAACTTTAATTTTATTTCAACCTTTTTCGCCTAGTGATTTGTCGGCTGGTTATCAACAGGGGAGGGCATTTTGTGACAAATTATACACGCGCCTCTTTTAAGAACTTTTAATTATCGGACCGCACCACCTCCAATTAGAGCTATCCGCGGTTAATAGCCAAATCTCCGCTATGACAGTTGCGGACCACTTTGTAACATGCTATTCATTGGCTAATTGATTTATTTAGCTGTACCCGACGAATAATTCTATATTACATTATGGCGCCCAACGTGGGGCCTAGAGGTGTCTTTAAAATAATTGTTTCCGCTACAGAATAAGCAGGTAAAATATTACTCATTCTTTTTGAATAATCCAGTGTATGACGTAGAAAAAACAAGAACCTGATGCATGCCTGTTGGGTAGGTATTCCTAATAGATGTGAAAACGATGGCAACGCCGTGCTAATCAGGTCTGAAGAATAAGCTGATGTAACGTCGCGGCGGACCTTGTTTGTGTATTTAATTATTATAATAAATACAATAAACTCTTGTAACTTTGTTTGCTTCCTACCTATTCGTCCTACTACATTACAAAATGTAATGATCATTCATACTTCTGACTTTGTAATTCGCTTTTCAATGTCAAGTTTAATAGTCTCCGATTGAGCTGAAAATCGGACAGTGAACAGTATGCGCTCTAAAACGTTCAGAAAAACAGTCTGTTTCCCGCTAACATAAGTGGTTAAAAAGTAGAGGCTTGTTTTGTGATAATTAGCAAACTCAGAGAACTGCAGGTGAGTTTTTTCAAACGTACTTGTCTTCTACTTACTGCATACAACGTTTCGTCCAAATCGGAGCAACTTTTTTCAACTTTTGAACGAAGAGAGATATTGAGCAACAGACACCACTCCGACATTTAGTTTTACATCCTGATTCTCTGTTTTTTTTTCGAAAAATTCATGGTCTCCGATTGAGCTGAAAATCGGACAGTGTACAGTATGCGCTCTAAAACGTTCAGAAAAATAGTCTGTTTCTCGCTAACATAAGTGGTTGAAAAGTAGAGGCTTGTTTTGTGATAATTAGCAAACTTAGAGAACTGCAGGTGAGTTTTTTCAAACGTACTTGTCTTCTACTTACTGCACACAACGTTTCGTCCAAATCGGAGCAACTTTTTTCAACTTTTGAACGAAGAGAGATATTGAGCAACAGACACTACTCCGACATTTAGTTTTACATCCTGATTCTCTGTACCAAATTTCAGCGAAATCGAAGACGAAAAAAATTTTAAGCAAAAATTTTTGAAGGCTATACCCTTTCGTTTTTTTTTCGAAAAATTCATGGTCTCCGATTGAGCTGAAAATCGGACAGTGTACAGTATGCGCTCTAAAACGTTCAGAAAAATAGTCTGTTTCTCGCTAACATAAGTGGTTGAAAAGTAGAGGCTTGTTTTGTGATAATTAGCAAACTTAGAGAACTGCAGGTGAGTTTTTTCAAACGTACTTGTCTTCTACTTACTGCACACAACGTTTCGTCCAAATCGGAGCAACTTTTTTCAACTTTTGAACGAAGAGAGATATTGAGCAACAGACACTACTCCGACATTTAGTTTTACATCCTGATTCTCTGTACCAAATTTCAGCGAAATCGAAGACGAAAAAAATTTTAAGCAAAAATTTTTGAAGGCTATACCCTTTCGTTTTATTTCGAAAAATTCATGGTCTCCGATTGAGCTGAAAATCGGACAGTGAACAATATGCGCTCTAAAACGTTCAGAAAAATAGTCTGTTTCTCGCTAACATAAGTGGTTGAAAAGTAGAGGCTTGTTTTGTGATAATTAGCAAACTTAGAGAACTGCAGGTGAGTTTTTTCAAACGTACTTGTCTTCTACTTACTGCACACAACGTTTCGTCCAAATCGGAGCCACTTTTTTCAACTTTTGAACGAAGAGAGATATTGAGCAACAGAGACTACTCCTACATTTAGTTTTACATCCTGATTCTCTGTACCAAATTTCAGCGAAATCAAAGACGAAAAAAATTTTAAGCAAAAATTTTTGAAGGCTATACCCTTTCGTTTTTTTTTCGAAAAATTCATGGTCTCCGATTGAGCTGAAAATCGGACAGTGTACAGTATGCGCTCTAAAACGTTCAGAAAAATAGTCTGTTTCTCGCTAACATAAGTGGTTGAAAAGTAGAGGCTTGTTTTGTGATAATTAGCAAACTTAGAGAACTGCAGGTGAGTTTTTTCAAACGTACTTGTCTTCTACTTACTGCACACAACGTTTCGTCCAAATCGGAGCAACTTTTTTCAACTTTTGAACGAAGAGAGATATTGAGCAACAGACACTACTCCGACATTTAGTTTTACATCCTGATTCTCTGTACCAAATTTCAGCGAAATCGAAGACGAAAAAAATTTTAAGCAAAAATTTTTGAAGGCTATACCCTTTCGTTTTTTTTTTCGAAAAATTCGTGGTCTCCGATTGAGCTGAAAATCGGACAGTGTACAGTATGCGCTCTAAAACGTTCAGAAAAATAGTCTGTTTCTCGCTAACATAAGTGGTTGAAAAGTAGAGGCTTGTTTTGTGATAATTAGCAAACTTAGAGAACTGCAGGTGAGTTTTTTCAAACGTACTTGTCTTCTACTTACTGCACACAACGTTTCGTCCAAATCGGAGCAACTTTTTTCAACTTTTGAACGAAGAGAGATATTGAGCAACAGACACTACTCCGACATTTAGTTTTACATCCTGATTCTCTGTACCAAATTTCAGCGAAATCGAAGACGAAAAAAATTTTAAGCAAAAATTTTTGAAGGCTATACCCTTTCGTTTTATTTCGAAAAATTCATGGTCTCCGATTGAGCTGAAAATCGGACAGTGAACAATATGCGCTCTAAAACGTTCAGAAAAATAGTCTGTTTCTCGCTAACATAAGTGGTTGAAAAGTAGAGGCTTGTTTTGTGATAATTAGCAAACTTAGAGAACTGCAGGTGAGTTTTTTCAAACGTACTTGTCTTCTACTTACTGCACACAACGTTTCGTCCAAATCGGAGCCACTTTTTTCAACTTTTGAACGAAGAGAGATATTGAGCAACAGAGACTACTCCTACATTTAGTTTTACATCCTGATTCTCTGTACCAAATTTCAGCGAAATCAAAGACGAAAAAAATTTTAAGCAAAAATTTTTGAAGGCTATACCCTTTCGTTTTTTTTTCGAAAAATTCATGGTCTCCGATTGAGCTGAAAATCGGACAGTGTACAGTATGCACTCTAAAACGTTCAGAAAAATAGTCTGTTTCTCGCTAACATAAGTGGTTGAAAAGTAGAGGCTTGTTTTGTGATAATTAGCAAACTTAGAGAACTGCAGGTGAGTTTTTTCAAACGTACTTGTCTTCTACTTACTGCACACAACGTTTCGTCCAAATCGGAGCCACTTTTTTTAACTTTTGAACGAAGAGAGATATTGAGCAACAGAGACTACTCCTACATTTAGTTTTACATCCTGATTCTCTGTACCAAATTTCAGCGAAATCGAAGACGAAAAAAATTTTAAGCAAAAATTTTTGAAGGCTATACCCTTTCGTTTTATTTCGAAAAATTCATGGTCTCCGATTGAGCTGAAAATCGGACAGTGTACAGTATGCGCTCTAAAACGTTCAGAAAAATAGTCTGTTTCTCGCTAACATAAGTGGTTGAAAAGTAGAGGCTTGTTTTGTGATAATTAGCAAACTTAGAGAACTGCAGGTGAGTTTTTTCAAACGTACTTGTCTTCTACTTACTGCACACAACTTTTCGTCCAAATCGGAGCAACTTTTTTCAACTTTTGAACGAAGAGAGATATTGAGCAACAGACACTACTCCGACATTTAGTTTTACATCCTGATTCTCTGTACCAAATTTCAGCGAAATCGAAGACGAAAAAAATTTTAAGCAAAAATTTTTGAAGGCTATACCCTTTCGTTTTATTTCGAAAAATTCATGGTCTCCGATTGAGCTGAAAATCGGACAGTGAACAATATGCGCTCTAAAACGTTCAGAAAAATAGTCTGTTTCTCGCTAACATAAGTGGTTGAAAAGTAGAGGCTTGTTTTGTGATAATTAGCAAACTTAGAGAACTGCAGGTGAGTTTTTTCAAACGTACTTGTCTTCTACTTACTGCACACAACGTTTCGTCCAAATCGGAGCCACTTTTTTCAACTTTTGAACGAAGAGAGATATTGAGCAACAGAGACTACTCCTACATTTAGTTTTACATCCTGATT